GAGAAGATGAGCTTTAAGAAAGAAATTCCTCTTTCTTTGTCCTCATCAGAAATGAGGTATAGATAGGACATCTGTCCTTCACATGTCCCTCACCTAAGCAAATTAGGTAACTTTTGTGCCTGTCACTGACAGAGAAAACAACCCTACACCTGGTACACTGTTTAAATTCTGGGGATTTCTGAATGACAAAAATTCTGCCTGTTCCTAGAGAAGGGCAACAAAGGTGTGACAAGATTATGATGATCAACAGATGGCTCAGGCAGTAGTGCTATAAGGAGGGCTTTGGGATGTATGGCCACTGGGAAGCATTCATGGACAGAGGACTATTCTCTCAGGATGGACTTCACCTGAGTAGGGAGGGAAATAGACTTCTGGGTTGGAGGCTGGAACAACTGATTAAGAGAGCTTTAAACTAGGAATTTGGGGGAGATGGTTGGGAGATGTCCAGGTAATCTCCACGCTGGATTTTAACATTGAGAGGGAAGAAAACAAAGTAAGAAAGGATACAGCTGTGGGCATGAGAATGGACATAAGGAGGAAGGGTAGTGTAGATACCAGTCTAATAGGTGATACTGGCGGTAGAATGTCTGTGCCTAATCGGGTAAAGAATGTGAGAGAAGCCAAAGAGCAAAAATTAAGATGTTTGTACACTAATGCAAGGAGCCTAGGTAATAAAATGGAGGAACTAGAGCTATTGATGTAGGAAGTGAAACCAGATATTATAGGGATAACAGAAACATGGTGGAATAGTAGTCATGACTGGAGTACAGGCATTGAAGAGTATGTGCTGTTTAGGAAAAACAGAAATAAAGGCAAAGGTGGTGGAGTAGCATTGTATATCAATGATGAGGTAGACTATAAAGAAATAAGAAGTGATGGAATGGATAAGAGTCTGTCTGGGCAAAAATCACATTGGGGAAGAAAGCTACTAGAGCCTCCCCTGGGATAGTGCTTGGGGTGTGCTATAGGCCACCGGGATCTGATTTGGATATGGATAGAGACCTCTTTAATGTTTTTAATGAAGTAAATACTAATGGGAATTGTGTGCTCATGGGAGACTTCAACTTCCCAGATATAGACTGGAGGACAAGTGCTAGTAATAATAATAGGGCTCAGATTTTCCTGGGTGAGATAGCTGATGGATTCCTTCACCAAGTAGTTGCTGAACCAACAAGAGGGGATGCCATTTTAGATTTGGTTTTGGTGAGTAGTGATGACCTCATAAAAGAAATGGTTGTAGGGGACAACCTTGTTTCGAGCGATCATGAGCTAATTCAGTTCAAACTAAATGGAAGGATAAACAAAAATAGATCTGTGACTAGGATTTTTTATTTCAAAAGTGCTAACTTTAAAAAATTAAGGAAATTAGTTAGGGAAGTGGATTGAAGAACTTGTGGATTTAAAGGCAGAGGAGGCCTGGATTTACTTAAAATCAAAGTTGCAGAAACTATCAGAAGCCTGCATCCCAAGAAAGGGGAAAAAACTCATAGGCAGGAGTTTTAGACCAAGCTGGATGAGCAAGCATCTCAGAGAGGTGATTAAGAAAAAGCAGAAAGCCTACAAGGAGTGGAAGATGGGAGGGATTAGCAAGGAAAGCTACCTTATTGAGGTCAGAACATGTAGGGATAACGTGAGAAAGGCCAAAAGCCATGTAGAGTTGGATCTTGCAAAGGGAATTAAAACCAATAGTAAAAGGTTCTATAACCATATAAATAAGAAGAAAACAAAGAAAGACGAAGTGGGACCGCTAAACACTGAGGATGGAGTGGAGGTTAAGGATAATTTAGGCATGGCCCAGTGTCTAAACAAATACTTTGCCTCAGTCTTTAATGAGGCTAATGAGGAGCTTAGGGATAATGGCAGGATGACAAATGGGAATGCGAATATAGAGGTAGATATTACCACATCAGAGGTAGAAGCCAAACTCAAACAGCTTATTGGGAGTAAATCAAGAGGCCCAGATAATCTTCGTCCAAGAATATTAAAGGAACTGGCACATGAAATTACAAGGCCATTAGCAAGAATTTTTAATGAATCTGTAAATTCAGGGGTTGTACCGTATGACTGGAGAATTGCTAACGTAGCTCCTATTTTTAAGAAAGGAAAAAAGGGTAATTCGTGTAATAACAGGCCTGTTAGTTTGACATCTGTAGTATGCAAGGTCTTGGAAAAAAATTTGAAGGAGAAAGTAGTTAAGGGCATTGAGGTCAATGGTAATTAGGACAAAATACAACATGGTTTTACAAAAGGTAGATTGTGCCAAACCAACCTGATCTTCTTTGAGAAGGTAACTGATTTTTTAGACAAAGGAAACGCAGTGGATCTAATTTACCTCGATTTCAGTAAGGCATTTGATACGGTTCCACATGGGGAATTATTAGCTAAATTGGAAAAGATGGGGCTCAATATGAAAATTGAAAGGTGGATAAGGAACTGGTTTTTTTGTTTGTTTGTTTGTTTGTTTTTTTAAAGGGGCGACTACAACGGGTCATACTGAAAGGTGAACAGTCATGCTGGAAGGAGGTTACTAGTGGAGTTCCTCAGGGATTGGTTTTGGGACCAATCTTATTTAATCTTTTTATTACTGACCTTGGCACAAAAAGTGGGAATGTGCTAATAAAGTTTGCAGAGGACATGAAGCTGGGAGGTATTCCCAATAGAGAGAGGGACTGGGATATCCGACAGGAAGATCTGGATGACCTTGTAAACTGGACTAATAGTAATAGGATGAAATGTAATAGTGAAAAGTGCAAGGTCATGCATTTAGGGATTAATAACAAGATTTTTTGTTATAAACTGGGGATGCATCACTTGGAAGTAACAGAGGAGGAGAAGGACCTCAGAGTATTGGTTGATCACAGGATGACTATGAGCCACCAATGTGATATGGCCGTGAAAAAAGCTAATGCGGTCTTGGGATGCATCAGGCGAGGTATTTCCAGTAGAGTTAATTACCATTATACAAGGCACTGGTGAGACCTCATCTGGAATATTGTGTGCAGTTCTGGTCTCCCAGGTTTAAGAAGGATGAATTCAAACTGAAACAGGTACAGAGAAGGGCTACTAGGATGATCCGAGGAATGGAAAACCTGTCTTATGAAAGGAGACTCAAAGAGCTTGGCTTGTTCGGCCTAACCAAAAGAAGGCTGAGGGGAGATATGATTGCTCTCTATAAATATATCAGAGGGATAAATACCAGGGAGGGAGAGGAATTATTTAAGCTCAGTACCAATGTGGACACAAGAACAAATAGATATAAACTGGCCATCAGGAAGTTTAGACTTGAAATTAGATGAAGGTTTCTAACCATCAGAGGAGTGAAGTTCTGGAATAGCCTTTCAAGGGGAGCAGTGGAGGCAAAAGACATATCTGGCTTCAAGACTAAACTTGATAAATTTATGGAGGGGATGGTATGATAGCATAATTTTTGGCAATTAATTGATCTTTAACTATTAGCGGTAAATATGCCCAATGGCTTGTGATGGGACACTAGATAGGGTGGGATCTGAGTTACTACAGAGAATTCTTTCTTGGGTGTCTGGCTGGTGAGTCTTGTCCACATGCTCAGGGTTTAGCTGATTGCCATATTTGGGGTCGGGAAGGAATTTTCCTCCAGGGCAGATTGGCAGAGGCACTGGGGGGTTTTCGCCTTCCTCTTCAGCGTGGGGCATGGGTCACTTGCTGGAGGATTCTCTGCACCGTGAAGTCTCTAAACCACAAGTTGAGGACTTCAATAGCTCAAACATAGGTCAGGGGGTTGTTACAGGAGTGGGTGGGTGAGATTCTGTGGCCTGCGTTGTGCAGGAGGTCAGACTAGAAGATCATAATGGTCCCTTCAGACCTTAAAGTCTATGAGTCTATAAGGGGTAACACTGGTTTCATGGCTCATTACAACCATCTGTAACATACACCTGCCTGCTAATCTTTAATGGCCTACTTCAAACCACTTTTGCATAACAATCTAACTCGTATTGCCCACTCCATCTCAAGTGATCTCCTACAATATGTGTTACCCCTTATCCTTAATTATCTGTCACAACTTGTACTCAGATCAGACTCTCTGATTTCTTTTGCCAGACTTGAAGAACTGTATAGATCGAAAGCTTGTCTCTTCCTCTAACAGAAGTTGGTCCAATAAAGAGTATCACCTTACCTATCTCGTCTCTCTTAAACTATACTAGAACTAACATTAAGTCAACTATAACTATATACAATAAGAGAAACTCTTTCTTAAAGCTGGCTAACAGAAGCTCAAGACCTATGCAAAGCTTCAACTCCTGCCACAGGCAATAAGAAGAAACTGAGAAGGCGGCAGTGGCTATGCCCCTTTTTATGCCCTTGGTTCTGCATATGAGGCCAGCACGTGCACCACCTAGTGGTAATTCTGGCAAAAGTCTCTGACTTGAGTGTACTAGGTGCCATATACCTGCAGTGGAAAATATATGTGCACAAACACTCAAAGCAGAGCTAACCTTATCATGCAGACTTGTCAAAGCAGATGAGTTCTTTACATTGTTCAGAACCCTTCTTTTTTAAGTGAATACTTTACAAGTCGTATCACAAAGGGAGCATATCTTACAACATTTACTTCAAGAAGGTACAAGGGAAGGTTCCATTAAGTAATTTCTGTTCCCTCTGGCACACAGGATAGTTGAAGTCTTTCCCCTCAATCCCATTTACTCTTCTCCCTGTTCTTTGAAGGGCCATTGTTGGTATGTTCCATTCTGCCATATTGCTATTCCTATGGGTGACACCAGATGCAAAAACAATGGAGCATTGGGAATTTGAACAAAATATCTACTATAACAAAAATAAGGATATGAGCTTTTGATTACTGAAAAATGTTTTCAAGGGTCAAAAAGGTACTGCTTTACTAAGCAGTGGGAAACATATACTGTAGCCCAGATACTGGGTTGCAGTCATCTGCTAAGTGTTCAGTTTATATTGGTGACTACTATATTTGCCAATATAATACTCAATATACTGCAGTTATATAATACCTCTTCTAATGCTTCTTCTTAGCTTGTTACACAGATCAATGCGAGGATTCTCTAAATTCTCTTCTATGGATCCAGGACTTTGCTCGGGGGAGGAGGGGCCCTTGCTGAGGTCCAGTGGTACTTTGCTAGCAGTGGGTGGTGGGGATGTGGCTGGGCTGTAAGTTGAGGTAGGACTGCTGGCAACAGAGGAAGTAGAGAGATCTAAAGCCCCTATTCTTGAGTTCAGTGGTGAATTAGTCAATGAGAGTTTTCTGGTTTTGACAGGTGAGGAAGTTCTAGAGAGTGACAGTGGAGGAGGAGATGAGAATTTGCGACAAAGATGTGGTGACTTCCCATCAGCCAGGTGTTCTCCTCTGTTGTTTTGACTGGTAGCAAAAAACAATTCCAAAGACCTATGAGTCAGACACAAAAAAAGCAAAACTAATATTAGTGAGTACAAACAGATTTAATGAAAAACATTCACAAATGCACTCTGTGTGAACAACATATTTATATTATTTGCTCCTGAAGGCCAGGGCATAAAACTAAAATATATTTATACATCATGTATTGTAAAAAAAAAGTTCCATTCCCCCAAACCACCCCTACCTCTGATTATTTACATGGTGGGAAAGGACCATTCTAACAATAATCTCATGACAGAAGAAGAAACAGAGTTTACCTGACTGGAATGGAGGTGAAAGGCCTTTTGTATATATCTGAGAGTTTCTCCAGTACAAAGGTTGCAGTAGTAAATATGCGGTAAGTATGCAGGAAAGTATTAAGAAAATCAATACTAAGAAAGCGCAAGTCTGTTAATCTCTCCAAGAGGCGTTCCACACTTGCATAACGAATTTGGGGCACTTTGCAGGAATTTAATGTTTTGCTGAAGCAGATATCAATGTCATCTCTATGAAGACGAGCATCAGATCTACATAATAGATTATAAGAACAAGTTTCAAAAAAGTAGATTCTTTACTGTCCTGTAAATATATAATTTCTAATGCACCCATCACCATAGATTCAATTCAGCTATACTGTATTTTCTGGGTTTCTAACATTACAGGAAAATATGTAAGCTAAAAAATGCTTTCATTAAATTTCATTTTACATCATGAAACCTTTTTGTCACATTCAATTTTGCAAAATTGTATTTTGTTCAGTTTTTACAAAAAAATAAATTTGCAGGAGAGAAGAGTAGACTAAGCTGAGTGTTCCTTTAAAAACATTGGCTGATCTTTTCTGCAGCACTTTTGGTTCTCTCAGGACCCACAGTCAAGATATTCCACCTAACTTCCTCCCTGCATTAAGTGGAAAACACAATTTTTCTTTGTTAGGCTCTTACTGAAGTGGCAGAGAAATTGTTTGATTCATCAAGTGCAGACATCTGAAACAATAACACACTTTAAAAATCAGTACACTTGCAAAGTCAAATAGAGAGGAGACAAAATCTCTGAAACATGATATTGACTTCGGGTATGTTGGTATTATCCTATCAGCTTGTTCAGAATGTGAGTTCTTTGGGATGGGGACTACGTCTTTCTTTATTTTTCATAAAGTGCTGAGCACACTGTCAACACTAAATAGGTAATAGTAATGTTTGTATTGCAGAATCATTAAAAAAATCAAAATAAGAAAAAAGTCCATTATTTCTAGACAGTAAAGAAAAAGTATCAAACCTAATATTGATCCTCCTGATATGTACCAAAGAGAGAGACCCACATGCTCTCCTTTGCATACATCAAGGTGCAGAAAGGGAGAGCACCATTGATATAAGGTGCTGCCGAGAGACCTGTTGGTACAATGTAGGCCCAGAAGGAGAAATGACCCAGTGGCAGTAGTCACAAAGGACTACTGACATTCTGTTCTATTTCTTAACATTTATAGTGGATAGAGATAAATAATGTACATGTGAAAGAGTAAGGGAACTCAGAGATACTCCTATATTGTGATTTTGAAATCAAGTACTGAAAATTGCTACCTACAAATAAAAGTGACATTTCTAGGAAAAATAAATGATTAAAAGAGAGCGCTGGGGGAGGAGGGACAAGGGGGAAGTGTATTTCTAATTAATGATGTTACCTTGATGCGATCTGTTAAATTTATGGCATCTCAAAGATGGGCACAGCAAGGAAAAGAAAAATTTTAGCTGCTATAATGAAGTACATTGACAAACTGTACCTGTTTGTACTTGCCTAAATTTTGCATACATTTTAAAATGTAATTAATAAAATCATGAGCAGTATCACAGAGAATAAATATTCACGGTATGATAATGCTTCAAAGCTAATCATTTTACATTTATTCATCTGAAGGAACAAGAATGCACACAACTACAGAAATACTTGAAAGTTAGAGCTTTTCTGAATACTAGTCTGTACTGTCAATCCAAAGTCTGAAAAAATCATGAGTCAGGTCCCCCGCAAAATCATGAGTTTTTAAAATGGTATATATTTTGGGATGTAGGATTAATCCCATTCAACAAAACTGTACAAAATGGTTACATTTCAAAGTTTTAATCTGTCCATCATGTTAAGCTTTCAATAATAATAATAATAATAAAACCCTACATTATTCCCCTGTAAAAAATTTGTTGCACTTACTTGATCATATGTGGCACAGTGACTTTAGAGTTTTCTTCAAACACTATGGTCATTAAACCATTGCATCTTATATTGTCAACACACTGTGAAAATGAAAGTCAAGAATCATTGAAATGAAAACAATGTAAAAAGAATATAGTTTCACATTTTCCTTCATCGCTGTAATCCTAAAACATTGTGCTCAGAGGGTGTGAACAGATAGCTAAAATAGATTTTTTTAAAATAAATAAAGCTAACAACAATGAAGAAGAAACTACAATGGATGGGATTCTCCAGTCTGCCCTGACAAGTTCCCTTTGCACCACTGATGCATTAAAGTCAATGGATCTACGCCATTGTACACAAACTGATGAACTGGTCTACACAGTTTGATAAGCTAAAACTGTTTTTAAACTGTAAATGAAGTATGCTTTGATTCAACAAGATTAAAACACCTCCAACGTACCCTGTGGTATTTTTAAGATCAATAAACCTAGGTGTATTGCAAGGAAATTAGAAAGATTTATAGACATGCTTGGCAAGATCCTCAGCCCTGCTCTGATCCCTTTATGCTCAGTAAGAGGGCCAGAAAGATGTAAATAGGCTCTATGAGCCCTAGATCCAGCTACGGGCAAATTTCCTCAGTGCAGGCACTACGAAAGAGGCTGTTATGGCTGTCTTCTAAAGACTCCCTTGCAAGTCCTAGCACAAAGGGTGTGCTGGGATTGGGGCTGGGGGCAGGAAGGGTATGACTGGGGTGGAGCTGCAGCACATAGCACTGCAGAAGTTCTGGGCACTGCTGCAACCCAAAGAGTAGTCCAGAGAGGCTGCTGTAATTTAGACCCCAGGGCTGTCTAAATTATGCAGCTGAGGATCAGGAGGACACAAAGGTGGCTTAAAGCCAGCAAACCCCATTTCCCTCTGGGCTTCCTCTCTAAGAGGTGCAGTGCAGAATCTCATCCACAGAGTATAATTTCTGAGGTGCCCTTAAGCCAAAGATAAATGACAAACTTTGTAGAGATTTCTTAAAGAAATCTTAAGGTCTGCAGCTAGTGCCTGTCCCTTATAAGATCTGCAAGTCTATCCATCACCACAGACTTTAAAAGGTTTGGGCATAGAAATTACAGGGCTGATGAAATGTCCATGGAGGTCAATGGAGACATTCCCACTGGATTAGGCTTGCAATGCCTACTAACTGTAAGCTCCACATGGACCTCCTGTTTTTATGATGCTTTCTAATTTTAGTCATCTAGTGCCATAAGTATATATATATTACTCCTTCATGGTAATATATATTGAACTGAATGGAAGCACAATGAATATAAGTACTGGCTTTGAAACATCTCATAACAAATGGCCTGTGTTATGCAGGAGATCAGACTAGATGATAATAATGGCCTTGTCTGGCCTTAAAATCTATTAATACCAAATCCACATATGTATAAAGTGCATTATTTGTATACTAGTTTTTTGTTGTGATTTGAAAAGTTCATCTACAGAGTATAATCCAGTCAATGTTTTGCTACTGGTTTTATCAAATGGGTTATTAAAAATACAAAAATATAATATATTTAATGGAAATAACCATTTTTTTCCTGTCCAGATTAGCATGAGTTGGGAGTGTTGCAGCAGCCACCTTTTTAGCTCCTGGGGTAAAAGTGCCTCATGCAATTCACCCATGACCCCTCTAGCCAATTAAGGAGTGGTATTGACAGTCTCCACAGATAGACAGACATCCAGTCCTTAGCTGAAAAGTTGACAGCTGTGAAGTAGGCAGTGCCGGCTTTACAAGTGGGCAACGTGGGTGACCGCCCAGGGTGCCATGGTTAAGAGGCAAGGAGCAGGGCAGGCTTGGGGTGCAAGGTCACAGAAGGGAGTTTGGGGCAATGGTGGGGGGAGATGCAGTGGGGGCCGGGGGCAATGAGGGGAAGCCTGGGGAGGCAGCGGGGGGCAGGAACAATTAGGGGAGCCCAGGAAGGCAGTAGGTGCCAGGGGCACAAAAACATAAATTTGCCCAGGGCACCATTTTTCCTAAGGCTGGTCTTGGATATATGGCCATAAGGCAAGAGGTTCAGTAGGTTAAAACAAGGAAAAGGGCAGTATTCCTCAGCACTAACAAAGATGCAGGCAGAATTAGCACATTTTAACATGGCATATTTTTCACGAGAAGAATTTGTTTCATAAAACATTGCACAAAATTAATTGATCTGTGATTACTATACTACCTATGATCACTGGGAACCAGGTAAGGAAAAAACACAAACAGAACTTGAATAACAAACTGAAACAAATAATCTTATGCCATTTGCATGTCAAAAATATACAGTAAATTGATATGCTACTAACTTGAAGGGTAAAATCCTGGAGCATTGAAGTCATTGGGAGTCTTTCCATTGACTTTAATGGGATCAAGATTTCATGCTAAGTATTTTACCAAAATCCTGAACAAATCACTAGCCTCCAATTCTTATTTTACATTCAAAGATTTCATAATTGTATTCTTGTAATGGCTCTAAAGTCAAAAGTCAATGATGACACTGTCAGACTAAGATGAATATGTATAAATTCAGAAGAGATGTTTTTTCCCATTACAGTAATAAAACTCAGAACAAATTTGGGACATAATTCTGTCCTAGTTTCACCAGTCAGTGCAGTTAATTCAAATTTATCCTGGGGTAATAGCTGAATTCATCCCTTTATGTCAAATTCTGCTAGCTTTACTCACTTGATTCCCTTCAATGGGACTACTCATATAAGCAAGGCAAGCATGATTGGGCCTTTCATTTCAGAGAGCTGCAGGTTCTGTGCTGTGATACATAAAGTAATAAAAACTGATAATAAGGTAGCTCAGTATAGTATTAAAGCACACTGTCAACCTTTTTATAAATTGCCATTTCCACATTGTTGCAACAGGTGCTTGGCTTTCTGCAAGTTCTAGTATCACCAGCAAATTTTCATCAAATCCCAAGTCCAATAAGAACTAGAACTTTCTACGTTTTTCTACTCCTAGAATTGGGAACCTCCATTTCATTTCACCCCTTATCTGTGATGGACTTGCCATATCCTACTATTAATTTATTATTGTTATTATTATAAATTATTATTTAGGAAGGACATTTGTTATATAAAGCTTGGCAGTGATGGTTATGTATAGTTACAGTTGTCATATTCTTTGACTTTGCCCTTCCAGCAACAATTTGCAAGATGTCTTTGGGCATTCTCTTGAGATACATAAAAATGTAGGGAAAAGTCTCTGAATGTTTACTTCAGCACAAAAGCAAAGCAGGGAAGAATAAGCTATAGTCAAACTTTTTCTCTTCCCGAGGATACAGAAGTTGGGAAAGACCCATCAGTTAAATAAGCTCTTTAACGCCACAAAAAGACAATCTGAAAACAAATTAATGGATCTCACTACTTCTACATAGGCACAAACTTGGTACAACAAGATTTTAAATATTACAGTTGTCACTCTTTCAGAGTCTTGGTAGCCTGGGTTCACGGCCCAGACTGTCAAAACAGGACAGGAGAGGTCAATGCTATAAATAAAAAAAACAAGCCTTAAAATACACTGTTGAGAAAAAACATAAAGACACCAATGCTTCAGATCAGTGCTGGCTGAGGTAAAAGGTGAAAGTATATGGCTAACAGTTCTCACCACAAACACTGTATGTGAAAGTTATTTAACGATGCAAAGAATTAGGAACGGTTGTTGATGTGGAAGGAGTGAATTTTTCTTCCTGATTCTGTGATTCCTAAGACATATTATTGCTATTTTTTTGCTCAGTAACTTGTCCGTGGCAACAGTAGAGTGGATAACTACCGGTATATAACAATCATAGCACTGGCATTTGCCAACAACTCATTTCCTCATACTTGCTCTTCTTTCTCAATACATTTTGATTTTCTTTATTTGTTCACTAAGTGAAAAGTAAAATTCAGGGTCTAAATTTAAAGTTGTGTGTGTGTGCATTTGCACACCTTATTTATAAGTGCAAAGTTGTGTGTGTGCATTTGCACACCTTATTTATAAGTGCAATACCCATGATTATGCACACAACTAGACTAATCATGTGCACTAAGGGCAACTCAGTATAAAATTGCTCATTTGAGTGCCAAGCTCCGCACATTTTTGCACACCTAATTAATTGAACACATCTGAAATAATAAGATAAGATTCTTATTGTTTGCCCTTTCCATTAGTATGGCCCCATGCCCTCCTTCAGAGTAGTAGTAGTGGGTTAAGAGGAAAAATCACTTATGGGCAGTTTAGTCAATAATTGTCTACTACAGGGTTTCTATGCAGCTGGTCCTGAGCCTTGTCATGGACAAGAAACTGGGCAAGAAGCCCTACTAGTCTGATCCAATTTGGCAATTCTTATTCAATTTTCATCCTAAAACTTGTAACTTAGTGGGAGTTCCGTGGCATTCTCCCTGGGCTCCTTTATTTATTATCTCTTTCACTACACCAAACCAATAAAACAAATATGAATGTAAGGTCCTGAGACTGCATTGCTGCTTTAAAGCAATTATACCAATCCCTACAATGCATGTGATTTTTCACATGAGGTCTTTTTGCTGCTACATGAAACTGCCATTGAAAGGATCTTTGAATTTATAGCTTTAAACATTTGGCTCTTGAAACTGAAAAAAAATAGGTTGATATTATAGCTATATATTTTTACTTTATTGTTATTCATCCAGTGTAAGAACTCTGGATAAAATTTTCAAAAGCATGTAAGTGACTTAGAAATTTGGAAGTTTAAATGCCACTTGACTTTCAATGAGACCTAGGCTCCTAAGTCACGTAGGTCTTTTCAAAATTTTATTTATCATCTTATTTATTTTATTCCAAAACTTTTATCCAGACCAAAACAATTCAGAAGGTTTCTTTTTTTTAAAAGCAATTTCAAACATATTAAGCAGATTCACTTACCAGAAATGTTATTATAGGAGAACATCAAATTTCAAACTGAAACTTGCCTTTACAGTGATCACTAATCAATTATTCCTTGTGATTAACAGAGGGCTGAGAGAGCTCTAAGTCAGGACGATGGCACTAGTTCAAATTACCATCTCATATTTTTATATGCAATCATCAAAGGTAATTCCTATGGCTACGTTCAGATATGGTATAAGCAAGTGCAAACTCTTTTGCTGTGTATTCAACCTCTGCCCCTAAAAGGTTTCTAGCAATTCTTTAACAGGTTTCCTAGATGTAAAAATATAATGCTCTTTTTAAATGATGTCCACATCATTAAAATATATTAATGCTTTTTCATTTTCACTCATTCACAACAAAGTGAATCACCTGCAAGCTATCATATTTCTTTCTTGTGTATTATATCTATTCATCTAATTTTCTTATCAACGTGGAGGGAAAAACAAGTTAATCTTATTCTCTTACTCTTTGGAATATGACACATATACATAGCATGAGATGGAAATGGAATGGAGACATTTTCCTCCTGATTCAAGAGTCACAAATAAATGATTTTTCATTTAGATTGCAGATAGCAGTACCTCAAATTAACAGATCTGACTCTTCCTTTTAAATCAAGAGAGAAGTCCACTCTATTACTTATTAACAGCTGGTAAAAATGAATGCCAGTTATGTTACATTCCTAACCACATCTCTTGCAAAACACCTTTCTGCCTTACACTAATGAATCCTTACAAAGCAAAGTGTAAAATCTCTGTAAAAATAGGCAAAGACTTGTTTTCTTATGTATTCATCCTAACAAGTAAACCCTGGAAAAAAGCAAAAGCTCCTTGAGATTAGTTTGAAACACACAGCAACTGATATTACAGGTAAGAAAGAAACAAAAAAAATAAAATAAAATAAGGAAAAACGTAAGTTACCTGACTTATATCACTTGTCCACGCAGCTTTTTCCTGTCGTGAAGGAGCTAACAGTACCACAGTATAAGGAGGAGCATCAGTAGGTTCAACCACAATCTTGAAATCAAGGTGACCAAACACTTGCCCAGAACCTTTTGCTTCACAATCCGGGGGAAAAAACAAGCAGTTGTGATTTAAAAGCTATATGTCAAAGAAAGTACTGTTTACATTGACACTAAAAAGTATTTTAAACCTCCCTCTGCCAAACAACAACCACTACCCTCCAAAGCAGTGACCACATTTTCACGTACATCAAGTACAAGCAAAGTTTGGGAAACATGAATACACGAGTACTAATGAATGGGTGTTGCTGTGAATTACTACACTTTCCAAATGACTAAATAAGGCCCTAATCCTACAAATATTTCTCCATGTTTTTTATACTTTCAGCACATGAGAAGTATTATTGAACTTAATGGAACTATTCTTACACTCAAAGTTCACCCTGTTCCTAAATCTGTGGGATTGGAACCAAAATGAATAGTCAATTTAAAAAAGCAAGGTAATATACTTTGTTACTTAATTTGAACAACATGGCAGTTACAATTTACAGGGTCCAGAACAAAATTTTCCACAAGCTCAGCCAACTCTTTCACCTCCCCCTGATCTCTGATAAACCTAATTATCCCTGTCTTCTTTCAAGCCAGGATTTTGTTCAGTTAAGATCCTCAAGTGTGAAATTCCACACAAAAATCAGAAAAGAATTTGTTACACTGGTTCAGCTATTTACTTGAAATTTTATCATCAGCAAGAACAAAACACACATTTTTAACAAGAGTTTTTATATGCAGTTTTAACACTACTTCTCAGACTTAACAAAAAGGTAAAACATATCATTTGCTGTGCTGACAAATAAACAAAGGGTAACACTTTTTTTATAAAACTGCTTTGGAGCTATAATTATATAAACAGTTTAAAGCAACTTACAATCATCATCACTCACATCTGGCTCCTCAATCAGCGTGCACTCTGTTAAAGAGAGAACACCCCCTGTCTATAGAAACAAAGACAATTTTTCAGTAATCTGGGGGAGGAGTTACCCTTCTCATTAAAGTTATTTTTAAGATTCCTTAGAATTTAATTTTAGAAAGACCCTTTAATTTGAGAGTTTAGGATGCACAATTTTTTCGAGAAAAGACCATTATCAGAAACAGAAGGGGAAAAGAAAATATAATGTATAGTGGGATTTTCCACATTAAAATAAATCAATAAAATATTCACTTGTACAGAAATGTCTGTTGCCTTTCCCTCTCTCTAATTTATCCCAGCACAGTTAGATCAATTGGATGATATAACCAAAACACCTTAACCTTCACCCAAAAGTCTGAATCAGGACCTTTTATGAGGTTCCACTAAGTTTAGTTTACATTCTACAGTACTGTACTGTTCGTGTGACTCCTCCCTTAGTGGTTTCTGCTGTGATGGAAAGTGAAAGTACCTACAGAAGAGATGGATTTCATTTTTTCTGACCCATCTGAAACCATAAAATACTAGAAATCTGAGAAATCTTATTCTTGCAACATTTCTAACCAATGTCTTTCTGATTAGTTTGAATAAACATTCAGAGCTAAAGTTTGCTCCAGTTTATGCCCCATAGTACCCCACCAAAAGGATTCCCCACTGTGTGTAAATCAGTGCAAACTGTCCCCCCCAATTTGAACATACTGTACTTATTTAAGTATGATGCTTTGCCTCTGACTAAACCCAACCTACTCCATAAAAGCTTGATTGTGTCCCATGCAATTTAATTATAGATTTCTTAAGAAGTTCAATACAGTAGAGTATGCTGCTGCAGGAAAGCAGAATTGATTTTTCTTTAAATTAGTTTTAATCCAGTTCTGTAAATTACTCCTTGGGAATTCTACTGAAGTGGATTGGTTGACACCTCTACTAAACAAAGGAGAGGAAAGTTCAGTACCAGTTTACATAAGTATTTGACACTGTCTCTAACCCCAACAAATTCAAACTAGAGAGTTCCATTTAGGAACTTGTGTTCACTGAGAGTTTTGGCTGAAAAAGGACTTCAGAATTCAGCCCCTAAGATTCAAATACGTAAACAGTTTATAAGAATACCAAACACACACTGAACATTATACAGACCGCAGCAGTTCTATTATACCTACCAGAAGGAAATGAGAATCCCTGTCTGCAATGATACTCTGCATGCTGTGACCAGGGGAATGATGCCATGAAGTTAGCTGGGGCTTCTTGGTATCTGACCTTTCATCCTCCTATATCCCTCCTTTGTTTCTCTGTTAGGGGCTAAGGGGTTTGACATCTCGGCCAATTAGTTGGCTTTCTGGTGACCGCAAGAGGGTGGCAACAAGCCCACAAACGTGGATTTAAATAAAAACACTTGTTTCATAACTGTTGTTCTTCGAGATATGTTGCTAATGTCCATTCCATTCTAGGTGTGTGCGCACCCATGTACACAGTTGTCGGAGACTTTTGCCTTAGCAGTATTCGTAGGGCCGGCTGTGGCGCCCCCTTGAGTGCCGCGCTCATGCGTCGGTATAACAGGCACCACCGGCCCACTCAGTTCCTTCTTGCCAGCAACTCCAACAGAGGGGTACGAGGGCAGGTAATGGAATGAGCATGAGCAACACATCTCAAAGAACAACAGTTACAAAAGGTAGGTAACCATTTTTTCTTCTTTGAGTGCTTGCTCTTGTCGATTCCATTCTAGGTGACTCACAAACAGCATCCCTGGAGGCGGGCTCAGAATTCACAGACATGCAGCTTGTAACACCTCTCTACTGAAGCCAATGTCATCTCGGGATTGCTGGGTAATGAGACGTGAACATATGTACAGATGACCAGGTGGGGGCCCTGCAAATATCAGAAATTGGCTCATGAGCCAGGAAGGCTGCCAACGAGGCTTGTGCTCTAGTTGAATGGGCAGTTACAATCACCGGTGGAGGCACCTTTGCCTGATCATAACAGAACTGGATGCAGACTACGATCCAAGAAGAAATTCTCTAGGTGGACACTGGATGACCTTTCATCCTATCAAGTGCCAGACTTGAGGATAGAGCCGCTCCAAACCTTTTAAGAACTGGACCGTCATGCTATGAGCAAAGATCAATCTGCCCTGGAACAGAGGGTGAAAGGCTGATATAGCGGCCAAATGGACCTTAATTGATGAAAGGGACAAACCTTGGAGCTTGAGATGCATCAGAGCCCCCAACCAAGAAAGCAGAAAGGCATCCAACAGGGAGCCCCTATCGACCCCCCGAAATGAGCAGAACCGTTGGCACTTCCTGTTCTGGCGAGTCACAAACAAGTCCACCTGGGGAGACCCTCACTTTCAGAAGATCTGGTCGACCACATTGGGGTGGAGAGACAACTCGTGGCAAGACGAGAAGGTTCTGCTGCGGTGATTTGTGAATACGTTCCTAGTTCCGGGGAGGTGTGCTTCCATGAGATGAATGGCATGCTGCACACAAAAGTCCCATAGTCTGAGGGCTTCCTGGCAGAGGGCTGATGACCTGGCTCCACCCTGCTTGTTAATATAAAAAATCGTGGTGGTGGTGTCCATCAGGACTTGAACCACTTTGCCTTGTAACTGGGACCAAAAAGCTCTCTGACATTTATGTGGAGGAAGCAGTCAACCCCCAACCAGCAGCACTGTGTACTGTGTTCACCCAGGTGGGCTCCCCAGATAGGGTCCGAGGCATCGGACACCAGAATCAGCGATGGGAACAGGGCCATGAAGGGGACTCCCTGCAATACTGATGTAGGGTTCAACCACCATGCCAGTGACACCCGGATGTGGTCCGGCACCTTGACTACCTGGTCCAGGCCATGCCTGTTGGGGATATAGATCGACACCAACCAGCAGCCAGAGGTGGAGCCAGGCATGAAGGACCATGTAAGTACAAGCAGCCATGTGGCCTAGCAGCCTTAGCAAGTGTGGGCGGTGGTGAGCAGGTGGCCCCTCACATAGGAGATTATGTCCAACATGGCTCAGAAATGGGTCTCCAGAAGGAATGCCTTGGCCTGCATGGATCATGAACCACCCCAATAAACTCTATCCGTTGCATTGGTACGAGGGGCAATTTCTTTTAGTTCACTAACAGGCCCAGGTCGCAGCATGTGGCCCACACTAGATTGAGGCTGCTCTGTATCTGATCCTGCAATCTGCCCTTGATGAGCTAATCATCGAGATAAGGATTGACCTGAATCCCCCAACGCCTCAGATAAGCTGCTGCTGGAGCCATGCACTTTGTAAAGACCTGAAAGGCCGAGGAGAGGCCAAAAGGGAGTGCCATGAACTGGAAATGGCACTGGCCCACCATAAAATGGAGGAACTATCTGTGTCCTTGGAAGATACAGATATAGAAATAAGCATCTTTCAAGTCGAAAACAGCATACAAGTCTCCCAGATCCAGGGAGGGAATGATGGAGGCCAGGGATACCATGCAAAACTTGAAATTCTTGAGGTACTTTTTGAGTCGTTTCAGGTCCAGAATGGGACATAGGCCCCCTTTTACCTTCAGGATCAGGAAATAGTGGGAATAGAAACCTTTTCCCCTCATTTCCTGAGGGACCTCCTCCACCACCCTCAGTTGTAGGATGTTGTTTACCTTCTGAATGAGGAGTTACTCGTGAGAAGGGTCCCTGAAGAGGGACGGGGTAGAGAGGGAGTAGGCAAAAACTGAAGGGTGTAGCCCAGCGACAGAATTTCTAGCACTCAAAGGTCTGAGTTGACTCTTGACCAGGCCGAATGGTAGGGATGGAGACAGTTGAGGGAAAGATAGGGCAGATCCAGGGAGGTGACTGGGGCATCGCTCTCAGGCACACCTCAAAACTCCCACTTCTGGCCCCTATGGTGTTTTGCCAAACCAGGTTGCGCAGGTGAGCAGGAGGAGGAAGGGCAGTGGCGACTGAACACAGTGTCCCTTCTCCTCAGAGATCCCTGCCGAGGCTGCCCAGGCCTTGGCGGTGGGGGCGGCCTGAATGGCTTCCTCACAGACTAAAGCATATACATCCCCAGGGAACGGAGGGTGGCCCGAATGTCCTTCAGACCATGCAGCCTCATGTCCATCTGATCAGAGAACAGCCCAATCATCATCCCCTGCAGTGTGGGCACCTTTCCATCCACCACAGCGCCCACCTGCACTTTCTGCACCGAGCCCAGTGCCACCGGTGCCAATTGGGGTTTGTCGGACATGGCAACCAAGGACTGGAGAGACAGGGGCATCGGCATTACCAACATGCCCCAGGCATTCCAGTACGGCCATTGCGTTGGCCACTGGCCCTGCTACCAGGTCAGCATCGCTGCGGCGGATGCACCCTCCAGAGCCCAGTTGTGACAGTGCTGTCTCGGTGAGGGGCGGAACTCCCTCTCCGTGTTGGAGAAATCCTCCTTCAGTGATCAGGGCAGGGCCATCGACCCCTGGGTCTGGCAGCTAACCATTGCCGTGGTTGACCAGTGCCTCGAATGGTCAAACTGGTGCCAGGAGTACGGGGAGGAGTGCCGTGTTAGGGAGTGTCCCGTGGTGTTGGGGACGGTGACTGTCAGCACAAACACAACTGGTGCCAACCGGCACCTCCCCCTGGGTGAGACCCGGCGTGAAGGGTGAGGCCCGGCGCAAAGGCAGAGACAAGGAGCGTGGTGCCGGCAACCTGTAGCGGTGACCTGGTGACCTGGGGTGATGCAGAGACCAAGAACATGGTGACAAAGGGTTCTGCCTTGACTGCGGAGACCGGCGGCACTCACTCACCTTCTGGGAGGCCTTCACGGCTGGCTTGCCCTTGTAGGGACACTTCACCGGGTCCATCGCCGCATGCAGTACCGGCTGGCAGGAGAGTATGTTGCTCTCTGGGCGCTGGGAGCTGAGAGGACGTTGACTGCGCCATCAGCTTTGGTCCCCTACCGCTCCCCGGAGTCAGTGGCAGATCCCTTAGGGGGATAGATAGTAGGTCCCCTCAGGTTTGTTCCCCCTTGTGGCTCTGGCATGGGCAGGCGGCCAAGTACATTCCATTGCCCAA